TTGAGGTAGCCTTTATTCAGTGTATAATACCTGTAAGTAGTGATAGTTTTACAATCAATCGGTAATGGATAACCGATATAAGTATCGAAATGTGAAATATATATATATATTTACATCAAATAGTAACAAAGCTACTTTTTTACCTTAATGGTTAGTAACACTCTGTTGCATGTATGTGTGCACAAGAACTACTGAGTTATATGTACATATATGTAAGTTATATGTATATGTAAGTAAATCGTTAATTTACTTATGAATATGCTGCACTATTCAGAAATAAACCCATCTGTTTATATGCACTATAAAAGCACTAATTAAAAAAAAATCCCAATGATACTAGAAACCACTTTCACAGCAAAACTAAATAATCTTTCTTTTTGGTATTAAAAACCTTTAAGTCAAGAATGAAATTCAATTAATTCCATCAGTGATAAGATATTGTCAACACTGAACATATTTCCTGTGCGACTTGGCTATACTCTTAAGACAACTCAGGCATATTATAACCATTTTGAAGAAGAAAGATATATACGTCACAATGTTTACTCAGTCTGTAATTATGCTTTTGGTATTAGAGATAGTTTCATACAAGTAAATTATATCCTGCAATTAGTGAATGAAAATCATTAGTGATCAATGTGAAACATATATATATATATATATATATATATATAAAAGAGGCATAACATATAGTTTTAGATATTTCATACACAATGTAAAGGATCACTGCTTATAACTGACAAATGTCTCTTCCTACAAGATATAAAAAACATGTGTACTCAACTAACAGTACAAAAACTGTATTAACATTAAACATTGATACCGATATTATGTGTTTACTGTTAAGTGGAGACATCCCATATCTAATTATGTAGAGCCAGTAGATACCAAAACTTGAAAATGGCTTAACATGAATTAAACCAATTCAATGGCAATCTATGTAGGGGGACACATTAAGATATGTGTGCATTACACTCCTTCAGAGAAAAACGGTGTTTAAATTTTAATTTTAACTGAGATCGTACAGCATCTGCCTGATGTGTAAGCAGTACTGGGTTCAAATCCTGAATGCAGGAGATGCAAAAACTGAAATTAACACAATCCTATGGTAATTTACATAATTCCTAAACTAACCACGACAACTAAAATTTCCTGTCTCCAGAGTTGTTTCACCAAATTACCAACTTTAAAAACAAAGCATTTAAATATATACATGCACAATAAGTATAATTAAATTGAAAAAGAAACATATAAATCTTCAAAACACAACAAGGAAGACTAAATTAAAAACAGGAAATCATTCTATGAAATTTTAAAAGATAAAGAGTTGATGGCACTAATTAATACCTACCAGGCTAGGTGGGTGAAAGGAGAATCAACAGAACAGGCAACAACTTCTGTATTGATGGCACGAAATGCATTGATGCTATCGCTGAAGGCAATGATCTCCGTTGGACAAACAAAAGTACTGAAAACATAAATGTGAAAAGCACGTTCGCTCTAAGTTTATAATTTCTAGACAAAAAAAGTAGGAAATACACATAAAATTATTAAATCTTTACTTTACTGATCTACTTTTGAAATGGTAATGAAAATGTGAAATCACCATAAATTTCAAAGGTTTTACTAACTCTGAACGAAGAATAGTTCTTAAAACTTGATCACAATCTTTAAAGCAGAAAAAGCACAAAGTTTAATATACATCAAAGCTGTTTTGTTTAATTAATTGACCGACCACTGCTTCCGTGAAACTTTGCTCTTATTTATGATCTCACTAATTAACTTCTGCCTTCTTTGCAAAAACCAAACAGGAGACTTGATAAACCACAGTTTAGTACCTTGCACACGACAGAGCAATAACCCTTAGATCTCCAGCTCCACACATGTGCTACACTGAAGAAATCAGTGTGTGATTCTACTATTCAACAGGACTGGATAACCCATTGAACCTCCTTTGTGATAGGGGCTTGTAATTACTACCCTCTGAAAAAAAAGAATTCCCTCAAAGCACGAGTCATTAACTCATGTTTATCACACATTTCTTTCATTGATGAGCTGTGAATTTGGCTAAATGATAACAAGTCTTCAATGCCCTTAGGTGTCTGGGACCGCACATGCTCTATGCTGAAATAATTAGTGTTGTAATGATTCCCCTTCAATGAGATAAAAGGCTTGTTAAAAAAATTATCTCTGTAGATACATGGGAATAATTAGGCTCAATGGATAGACAACTTGATGGATGGAAGAAAGCAGAGAAACAAAGTTCAGTCAAACTGGATTAATGTCACAAGTGGAGCAGCTGAGGGGTCAGCGTTAAGAACTTTGCTCATTTTTTGACTTACATCAATGACATAGATGAAGGAATGGCCAATAAATTACTTAAAGTGTATACAGTTTTGGGTGTTACTGGCTATGAGGATGCTACTGCTTTACAAAAGGATTTGGATCATTTGGTGAGTTGGGTGAATAAATGGCAGATGGCCTTTAATTGCAACAAATGCAAGATCATGCACATGGGTTATGATTTGAATTACAATTATAATTTTGATGGAACAACCCCAACAGTGCTATGGAAAAAAATGATCTTGGTGTAATGGATGATCAGTCTCTTGAGCCATCCGAGTGGTGTCCTGTTGCTAGTGGCAAAGCAAATGAAATTTTTAGGTTGTAGCTACATAAGTACTGAATAGAAGTTTAAAGAGGTTAGTTTCATTATATAGGCCACTGATTAGACCACATTTGGAGTATTGTAATCAGTCTTGGACTCCTTACCTAAAAAGGAAATTGAATTGTTGAAAAGGTTCAGAGGGCTACTAGGATGATATACAGGATAGAAAGTTGACATATGAGGTCAGGTTAAGATCTCTGAACTTGTCTTCTCTTGAAAAAAGAAGAGTTAGAAGGGGATCTGATTGAGGCGTTTAAGATTGTTAAGGGAATTGATAGAATTCTTCATATTTAATGGTGAGAATAGTAGAACTAGAGGACACAAATATAAATTCTGGCAGGGTAGGAGTCATCTTTAATAAAACAGTTTTATTTTTCTAATAGGGTGGTTAGCCTTTGGAGTGGGTTGCTTCAGATGTGGTGTATGCAGTGAATTTAAAGGAGTTTAAGGGAAGACTTGATGGATGTTTTGATGATAAGAGCTGGCTTTGAGTGTTTTCTTTTAATTTAGTTTAGTGAATGGGGCAACCAAGATGGACCAACAGGTCCCTTGTTGTCCTTAAGTTAAAGTTATGTTAACTAAGTGAATAGTCTGATTTGGAGAAAACTACCATTTGTAAAAATTTTCTCCAATACTAATAATATTTTAAGACTACCACAAAAAAAAGAGCAAAAGTTGCAGAAAGATTTTTGGATCAAGTTGGAATACTCCCCAAGCTCATTGATCGTATATTCCAAGATGCATTTATATTAATAATAATGAACACAAGAAAATTAAATAGATAAATGAAATGTGTATAAACAAGATCCAGAGAGTTAGGTTGATTGAATTCTATGTATATGAAGACACTAACATTGTATGTATATATTGGTCTAGCTAGAATTACAATCAACATGCTGAAATTTATTGCTAAGACTGGAGTTATAAACTCATCTATCCAGAGTTAAGTTAGGACTAACCGATGCTTACAATTAGGCCTTTCTAACAATATATAAAATCATCAACAACAATAGTAGAAATTTATGTGAAAATAAAACTTTTCATGAACATATTGCTTTACAGAACCCATTACCATTGACTGTATATTCAACTGTAAACATCTTGAAAAAAAAGTATGTATTTCCAACAGTATTTTATCGTTGTTTTGCAACTCAACTGCAAATAAGCTTCTATGTTTGACGCTTGTTGAGATTTTTTCATTATAAAAAGTGTGTACTAAATTATGTTTATAACCTTACTATAAAACAAAATATTACTGTTAGTATTAGAAAAAAAAAGGCAAGTTTTTAACTAACATTTTTAATCTAGCACTGTAACAAGCAGATCGACCTTTATACTTCTAAGTTCTAGACATACTATGAACTAAATACCTAAATACACAGATATATTAAATTTAAATATCTCTTATAAAGTACAAGCACATTAAACTATATATGGGTCAATCAGTGCATTATTAACAGTCACTGAAATAGCTTGTATGAGCCTCTGACAGACAAATATGTCATAGAAATATTGAATTAAATAACCCTGGTTTAGTCACTTGTTTCATCAGATGTAATATACTGCTTATTACAATTACTTATTACTAAACTTATATTATAAACTGTAACATCTCTTTTATGATTTCAGTTTTACAGCATAATATTAATAAGCTCAACTATTTAAAATATTATACTCACAAATCTAAAGGATAGAAAAAGAAAACCAGATATTTCCCTTTGAAGTCTGACAACTTCAATTCCTTGAATTCTCCATTGACTACCGCTGTTCCTTCCCAGGCTGGTGCCGGTTTTGATACTGATTGGATATACATATATAACATCATATCAGTTATTAGCCTAATTATCCTACCATCATGGCAAACCAATGTTACTTCTCACCTAGGCCTATCTCATATAATCATGTGAAAATGTAACATTACTTGCACACTTAATATTTAATAGTAATATTACTAATATAATACAGTGCAAGGATTCCTATAATTATAAGTAAGGTAAAAGTAGTCATTATTTATTTAATATTAAATCCTGTACCTAAATGAATAATGATATGCTTTTTCTTTCTAATTATTGATAGTTCAGGTATTGTACAACAATTTTGTGTCTACCTCTGTAATTTAAATCTAATGCTACGTTTACTATAAAGAGTGGTGCACACATACAAAAAAGTCTGAAATTTGAATATGAAATTCGCTGCACAAACAGCTATCGAGATAGGGGAGCTTCGCCCCACATTTGCTTTTACTTTTTAACTAGACTTACTTTGTGCTTTGCTCCAGTGTAGAGAATGTCCTAAACTTCTAGTTGTTTCTTGTGGGTATACATGTCCTCCGCCAAATTGGTGGCATGCTTCCTCTCCCGTGACACTATAAACATTCACAAAGAAATAAATCACAAGCGGAAACATTCGAGGTAACCACACACACACATTCGCCATTTTGTTAGAGAAATACCACATCATTAGCGCCAAGATCAAGTTGAGAAGTGCCACGTGGATAACAATCACAGATACAAATGGTCTGTATAATCACACATACATATAATACATATAAACTGTATGCTATATACAAACATATGCATTTCTCAATCAGCTTTAAATAAAAAATAAAGAAAAACATAAATGTTGTTAACTTTTAAGTCCAAATATTATAATGTATTGTGTTTTATTATTATAATCATGCAAATATGTGTATGTATTGTTCAATATGCAATTTTTTGTTGTCGTTGTTGTTGTTAAACAAGAAATTTATTTTTCAAAAGGCCATGTTGTCAAGAAATTTGTTACTATGACTCAGCACAATCAATACTTTCAACAAAGTGCCCTCGTGGCATGAAAACGTCAGAAGATCAATATATTCACATTTCTGATTGCATCTACAGTGTTCCAATGTGTTTCACTGTACTTAGTTTTCAGTCAGCTTATGATAGTCTAAAAGATACGACACGATAGTGGTATCTTATGCTACGAACTGTCTTTGAAAAATAGGATTCAAATGATTTATTCCAACAGTGAAAGTTATTTATACGCAAAGTTTTAGTCTCTGCTGTTATGTGTATTCCATGTTAAGATCTGTTTCGAATTTGCTACCTATATGATTATAAAGAATGACAACTATAAAGTGATGCTAGAAGTAAGTCTGTCTAATCCATTTTTCTGCTGGTATTGTATGTAGCAAGCCTTTAATTTTGTTAACTTGTGAGTATGTATTTTTTTCTCACACATTCCAAAAAACAATTGTATTCAACCTTTCTTGTTTATAAGTAATAACAGATTTGGTTTCACAGAGTACACCAGAAGAAAAACTCGGCTCTTTGATGAATTACTAAAACAACAGATTAATGTTAAATATAAAATACACAAGATTACAATTTGTATAACAAAATTAACGTAAAGTGTAAATAAATTAACATTTACAGTTTGTCATTGAATGATTATGGAGACGCCAACAATAAGTAGTGTAAGAGCACCAGATTTTGAAGACGACTACACATTTAGTTCAGAATATGCCAAAGAGTTTTTGGAAATGGAAAATATTCTTGCTTCCAAACAGTCAACAGAAGAAGATTCAGACCAAGATGATGGTTTTGAAGATGGTGGTTTCTCAGGTTAGCCTATGTGGTATTTTGATGACATTATTCATTTGTTTGATAAATATTTAACTTTATGTTTGTTTTAACAATTTTATAATGATATGTAATTGTTACAGTTAGTGAACACATATATAAATAAAAAACAATAATATCAAATCGGTAACTTACACCATTTAAAATTTTTGTATTGAAGTCTGTCATCACCGAAAGTAACGTAGTGTGGCGCTTTTAGGTGAAACTTATAAACTTACAAGGAAATATTGCTGTAGTCTATATATATATTAATTTAGACGTTTATGTTATTAATTCGCAAGAGAGAGTTGGGCGTGACTTAATGACTAGAATATTCTTGAAAGTTTAAGATACGATATGAGTAGTTTTAAACACAAGTTAGGCTAGAGTATGTGATCATTGATTTGTAATTCGGTTTATTATTGAGTTAGTGCGTTTTTAGTCGGTTTGTCTGTTACTGTCAGCCAATTATTCAGCTAGTTCAGTTTTGTGGGTTTGGGTTTAAACGAAGATAGAGAGATAAGAGAGAATACAATAGTATGTCAAAAGTTAACAAATAAGTGAAATTGTTGTGTTACATCCAGTGTAAACTTGAGTCTTTCAGTAGGCTTAGGCAAGTTAACCGAAGAAGTTGTAGTTGAAGAAATAAAACGTTTTTGTTATAACTTAGTCTGCTGGACTTTGGATTATTTGCATCAAGTAGTCCAAAAGAACCTGCCCAACAATAGAAACAATTACAACAATATTAAGACTGTAGGATAGAAGGTGTGATGGAAATGTGCAGATCTTGGACAAAGCAATATTTTCAGCAATAATTTTATTTATTCTAATAAATATGACTATAGAATATTGATTATGCTTGAGATTGATATTTTCTTTTCAAACTGCAAATTGTAATGAAAGTAATGTATCTCAAACTACTTATTATTTATTTAGATTTTATTAAATCGGAACCTCAGCCAGCGGAAGTCACGTGACTCTGGTAACACGTCGTGAGATTCTCGAAGGATCTTAACTTTTCCTGGCAACTCTAGTCTTTTATAGGCGCCCTCTATTTTAGTATATAAGCCCGGCAAATAAAGCGGAGATAATAATTGTATATAGACAGAGATATAGACAGATAATTGAGTCAAATGAGCGGTAGTGACGGTATTATAAAGTGTGTGTTTTGTTATCGAGATTGCAAACGTATTGACTGTGGAAATTCTGTGTATTATAAAGTTGTATTGAGAAAGAATAAACTAGTTTTATTTAAGGAAGGACTTGTATTGCTGAAGTTTTTCGGAAAGAATTTCTACGGAAAATTAACAAACCAACACAGAGACGTAACAAATTGGTGTCAGAGAGTGGGACAAAAAAAGAAGAAGATGGAAACGAGAAGTGGCAAATCAAACTACAGCTTAGCAGATTTGATGGCAGCAGTACAAGAACAGCAAAAGAAACAAGAAGAGAGATTACAGCAGTGGCAAGAAAACCTGCAACAGTGGTAGCTCGAACAGCAAAATAAACAAGCATTTGTTGGAGGAAAAAGAAAAGAAACAAGAAGAGAGACTACAGCAGTGGTTGGAGGGGACAGAAAATGAACAAGAAGAGAGACTACAGCAGCCTATTGCTGACATTCATATCTGGGATTTGACTTCTAACAGGACTGATAATGTCTGCATTAGGGTTTAGCTGCAGGGTCTGGAAGGGACTTCCTGCTGTCTGGGGCTGATTAGGTCCATGGCTAATATATCCTCCTTGTGTAAAAAACAGTAAATCATTCTTTAAGGAATTTAATTCACTTTGAAATTTACTAAGCTTTTCCATTTGTACTTCTTGTTTCCTTTCTTGTTCCAGTTGCCAGGGTGATCTAGTGCAAAGGAAGCCACAGGAATTCGATGGGAAGGCACCGTGGGAAGCATATAGAGCACAATTTGAGCTCCTGGCAGAGATGAATGGATGGATAGAGGAGCATAAAACAGTATATCTGGCAACGAGCTTGAAGGGACAACCACTGGAAATACTTGGACAGTTGTCAGCAAATGACAGGCACAACTATAGAGCACTGGTAGCTGCTCTAGAACTCGGGTATGGAACCCAAAATCAGTCTGAAGTATACAGGGCTAGGTTTAGGACGAGAGTCCATGCTAAAGGGGAGAGCCTGCAAGAACTGGCACAAGACTTGGAAAGTATGGCACACAAGGCCTACCCAACTGCACCACCCGATGTCCTTAAGTTGTTGCTGAGGGATCAGTTTGTAGACGCCTTGGACAGTCCACAACTGAAGATACAAGTAAAGCAAGCACACCCCTCTCCTATGCAGGATGCAATGGCCAGAGCTCTTGAATTCGAATCCTATGTTAAGTCCAGCACAGAGGTACTAAGGTTGGTACAGTTATCAGGATTCAAGGCCAGAAAAGGTCAGCTTTCAGAGATGTTTGAGGGACTTTGCTGGCACTGTAACAAACCTGGGCATAAGAAAGCTCAATGCTGGAAACTTCAACACAGGGA